ACGTCAGAGCAAGAGCCATAATTCTCACACTAGACCTCCTCTGTAACTTTACACTGCTAACCTGCAGACATTTTTAAAGCATCACCCATGGAGATTTTTAAGTACCGCAGTTTCACGCCATTGCACGAGGGTGCGCAATTTTAACCACTTGCCGCCCTACCACTGTAGAAATACGGCGGCAGGGCGGCACTGGCAGGCAAAACCACGTTTTAAAACGTGTTTTTGTAAACAGATAGGGGGCGCGCGCGAGGCGCGCCGCCGCCCTATCTGTCCCGCCGATCACCGCCGCGGATGTCAGTCGCCGGGTCACAGCCGGTCCTTACTGGCTGTTTCCCAGCGATCGGCGGTAAACAGTGACAGAGAGCACAGCTGCAGTAGCTGTACTGTCTATCACTTCCTGTCAGCTCGAGGACGAGCTGATCGAGACAGAGGAGTTTCTCTCTCTCGATCAGCCTTGTCCCGCCCAGTACACACCCCGCCCCCCTAGTAAAACACTCCCCCTCACTCCTATAACCCTTCCCTGCAAAATAAAGTTAACCCCTCCTCCCCAGTGCCATTAGTACAGTGTCAGTGTTTTTCTTTTTGCACTGATCACTGTATTAGTGTTTTTGGGGATGTCAGTGACCCCAAGTCAGTACCCCCCAATGTCAGAATGTCCGCCGCAGTCCTGCCATAAGTCGCTGGTCGCTGCCATAAGTCCCTGATCGCCTCCATAATTCGCCGCCGCCAATTAGTATAAAAAAAAAATAAAAATCCCAGTATCTTTCCCGCCATTTGTAAACGCTATAACTTTCACATAAACCAATTAATTTACACGTATTGGGTTTTTTTTTTTTTTAGCAAAGACATGTCCCAGAATGCATTTTGGCAGAAATTTATGACTAAATTTGATTTTTGCATTTTTTTTTTACTGGACATGTTTTATAGCAAAAAGTCCAAAATATTGTTTTTTTTTCCTCAAAATTGTCATCCTTTTTTTTTATAGCGCAAAAAATAAAAAAACCACACAGGCGATCAAATACCACCAAAAGAAAGCTCAATTTGTGGGGAAAAAAAGGATGTAAATTTCATTTATGTACCGTATTGCATGACCGCGCAATTGTCCGTTTAACTAGCACAGCGCTGTATAGCAGAAAAATGGTGTAAATTGCAGTATCTATACCATAGTTTGTAGACGCTATAACTTTCACACAAAGCAATCAATATACACTTATTGGGATTTTTTTTACCAAAAACATGGAGCAGAATACATTTTGGCCTAAATTTATAACCAAACTTTGAGTTTACTATATATTTTTTATAGCTGAAAGTAAAAAATATTGTTTTTCTTCAAAATATTTGGCCTTTTTTTGTTTATAGCGTGAAAAATAAAAAGCGTACAGGTGATCAAATACCACCGAAAGAAAGCTCTATTTGTGTGAAAAAAAGGACGTAAATTTTGTTTGGGTGCAGCATTGCATGACCGCGCAATTATCAGTTGAATTAGTGCAGCGCCGAGTAGCAAAAAGAGGCCTGGTCATTAAGGGGGGTAAATACTCTGGAGCTCAAGTGGTTAAAGTGTGACATGTTGGGTATCTATTTACTCGCCGTCACATCCTCTTTCATATTTTACAAAATAATTGGGGTATATGTTATTTTTAATCAAAGTGCATTTTTATCCAAAAAAAAAATATATATTAATTTTTGAAAACTGCGTATTTCGGTTTCGGGCAAGTGCATTTTGAATTTTCAGTTTTGGTTTCGGCACCAGAATTTATTTTGGTGCAGCACTAACACACACATTATATATTTATGTGATTTTGCGCACCCATGCCGCCCTGTAGCAGTATTTTCTGCTATAGGGCGGCACTGAACCGGTTAATAAGGCAAGCATTCACCCAGAAGTGCCAAATTCCGGTAGTATTTTCATTAACACGGTGATCTCTTATGACCGTTAGCTTGATCTTTGGGCAATAAAGTGCTACATTATGGCCACTAGAAGCCAGTGATCATTGGAAATCATTGTATGAGATAAAATAGGAAAATAATCGCCACGGGTGGGCAAATATCGGTCACATTTGTGAAACTAATTTAAAAAAAGAAGACCAAGTGTTTGTGAAATCTCCCCACAAAATGTACTCAGCCAATGAAAGATGATGACTCCATTTTTATTATTCTTCTCCTGCTATCAATGGCCAACCCGGTCCCACACTTCATCCATGTCTTTGGTGACCTCTGACCTCCTTATGAACCGTTTCTTCCATGATGAAGATCAGCCATGGAGTATATCTGAGGTGTATATCAGGGGGTGCTTCTTCCCCACATGAGAGCTGGGATGTCCAGCAACATTCATCTAGAAGACATTTCCCGCACTCAAGGCACTAATACACCTCCAGGGTTGTGTGGGACCCCTGATGTACAGGAAGACAGGACTTCAATGAGGAACATTTCCCTCACTCAGTACAGGAAAGTGGCTTCTCCCTCGTGTGAGATGTCTGGAAAGATTGGATTTGTCTGAAAAAAATTTCCCGCACTTAGGTCAGAAAAGTGGATTCTCCCTCGTGTGCAATCTCTGATGTTTGTAAAGATGGGACTTCTGTGAAAAACATTTCCCACACTCAGGACAGGAATACGGCTTTTCCCCCGTGTGAGATCTCTGATGTCTGTGAAGATTGGACTTCTTTGAAAAACATTTCTCGCACTCAGGACAGGAATAAGGATATAGCTTTTCGTCTGTGTGCATTCTCTGATGTGAATAAAGATCTGACTTCTTTGAAAAACATTTCCCGCACTCAGGACAAGAATAAATCCTTTGGCTCATGTGGCACCTTTGATGTTTGACAAGATCTGATTTTCCTGCAAAACACTTCCCGCACTCGGAACAGGAATACGGCTTCTCACGTGCATGCAGTCTCTGATGTGCGTAAAGATTTGACTTATTTGAAAAACATTTCCTGCACTCAAGACAGGAAAAGAGCTTCTCTCCTGTGTGAGACCTTTGATGTGAGACAAGTCCTGATTTTTTTACAAAGGTTTTTGTGCACTCAGAGCAGGAATATGGTTTTTCTCCAGTGTGGTACCTCTGATGTGTGACAAGTTGTGATTTTTGTACAAAACATTTCCCGCACTCAGTACAGGAATATGGCTTCTCGCCCGTGTGCAATCTCTGATGGTTGTAAAGATTGGACTTATTTGAAAAACATCTTCCACACTCAGGACAGGAAAATGGCTTCTCCCCTGTGTGAGACCTTCGATGCACGTCAAGTTTGTATTTCAGTACAAAGCTTTTCCCGCACTCAGAACAAGAATAGGGTTTTTCCCCTGTATGCAACCTCTGATGTGTGTAAAGATTGCATTTCTTTGAAAAACATTTCCCGCACTCACGACAGGAATGCAACTTCTCTACTGTGTGAGATCTCTGATGTATGGAAAGATGGTACTTCTTTGAAAAACATTTCCCGCACTCTGGGCAGAAATGTGGCTTCTCTCATCTGTGTGAGACTTTTTATGCACAATAAGATTGGATTTAAAATGAAAACCCTTCCCGCACTCAGTACAGGAGAAGCTCTTCCCTGTTGGAAGGCCGGCCCGGTCCCGCACAGTCTGAGGTTCCTCAGGATATGAGGAATCCGATGGTCCATCTACACTGGGTGGTGTCGGATGGACATTGGAGGGAGCCGGGTTTTCTCCTGGACTATACTGTGTGATGTCCTCATCTTCTACCTTCCAGTCTGGAGACAAAGTGAGACAATCCTCGGAGGTTTTCCTCATCTCCCGGCCATGGACTAAAATACAAAGACAAAGAGGATTACTAGATAGGAGCTGATTGGTTCCCCCAAACCAGGACTCCACCCACATCAGGCAGCTTGGTCTCTGAGGAGCTTACAATTCCACCCTCAAGGGAACTAGGAAATGGCTCCTCTGATCTCCTACCAGGTCATTTCTTTATTCATGGACCTTAGTCAGAGAGTGAGGAAACAACCAGAACTGTCTTTTATAGGAGGGACAGTGATGAGGGGATTATAGGACGAGGGTCCCCACCCCCTCTATCACTCATCGCCATCTTCCCAACACAAGAAGTACTGCACTTCCTTATTTAGTCCATGATATAGTCATGAAGAACAGCGGGGCTGAGCCCCACCAGAGGTCAGAGAGTGAGGATGGGGGGGAGAACAACCAAGATGAAGACTGGACTGATCCTGAAAACCACCATCATTGGGGTACTGACTCCTCCCTCATTATCACTTTCTGTTTAAGGGTCCAAAGTTGGAGGATGTTATCACATTATTATCACCATGTAAAAGTCTGTGCTCCAATCACATCATCCGATATAAAATGTCCAGCTGGGAGGAAATGCACTGAGACTGCACTCAGTGACTTGGGTCTGAGACTATACAGAAATATCCCTCCACCCAGCAGACAACAGAGTAACTCTGGGAGAATTGTTCTATCAGAGATCTTGCTAGACCCGGGCATGGGGAATAAGACCCAAAGGACATGTCCCAGGTGCCTAGGTAGAGCAACACCTATGAAGAAGATCAACACTTTACTGCCGGCTGAACCCACGATTCTCAATAAATCCAGTCTAGATACATAAACTAGAAAGATTATCCGAGAGAAATCCAGGAATACAGGACGGGGAACAGAGCTCAGGAAAGTGACCAGGGATTACAGGCTGATATCACCCAGTCCCCGCCCTACTCTGGACCAATCAGTGAGCAGTATGGGTGGAGGAATGGATTTAGTGTTCATGACCCACCTGTGCTGATCTCTGTAGGAGTGTCCTCCTCTATAAATGTCCCCGTTATTCCATCCTCCTCCATAGACTGCTGATCATCCCTCACATACGCCTCTTCTTCTTCTGATTTAACCTCAAATTCTATATCGATTGGATCTCCACTCTAAATCAAGGAAATGAGAGAAAAATATCATCTGTAAAATGTAAGATTTATGTTTGTGACATCACATAAAAAATCCACACATTGTCTCTACAAGTCCATGTTCTAGATGCTCCATCCCACCAACCTTGTAATGGTGAGGGATGGTGTGATCTTCCTGTGTGGAATCCCGGGAATACAGAGGACGGGGACATCTCTCTGGTGGGTTCCTGGTATTAGGTGGCTCCATCATATCCTTGTGTCCTTCTGAAAACTCCACCATCACTCCATACTCCTCATCCTCCTCTTTATACTCTTCTTTAACATCAATATTATCATCCCCCGAGGATTCCACTCTGAAAGATATAATAAAACATTCATTGTAACAAACATGCTGTGTATAAATCACAACTACCAATAATTGTCATCATCTACCTGATGATGGTGAGGGATGGTGTGACCTTCCTGTGTGGAATCCCGGGAATACAGAGGACGGGGACATCTCTCTGGAGGGTTTCTGTTGCTTGATGGCTCCATCATGGTGTCCTGGTACAGGTCCTTGTGTCCTTCAAAAAGCTGCTTCATCACACCAAACTCATCCTCCTCTTTATACTCTTCTTTAATAACAAAATTAGTATCCTTAAGGATTCCACTCTGAAAGATATAATAAAACATTCATTGTAACAAACATGCTGCGTATAAATCACAACTACCAATAATTGTCATCATCTACCTGATGATGGGGAGGGATGGTGTGACCTTCCTGTGTGGAATCCCGGGAATACAGAGGACGGGGACATCTCTCTGGTGGGTTCCTGGTATTAGGTGGCTCCATCATATCCTTGTGTCCTTCTGAAAACTCCTCCATCACTCCATACTCCTCATCCTCCTCTTTATACTCTTCTTTAACATCAATATTATCATCCCCGAGGATTCCACTCTGAAAGATATAATAAAACATTCATTGTAACAAACATGCTGTGTATAAATCACAACTACCAATAATTGTCATCATCTACCTGATGATGGGGAGGGATGGTGTGACCTTCCTGTGTGGAATCCCGGGAATACAGAGGACGGGGACATCTCTCTGGTGGGTTTCTGTTACTTGATGGCTCCATCATGATGTCCTTGTAGAGAGCTTTGTGTTCTATAGAAAGCTGCTTCATCACTCCATACTCCTCATCCTCCTCTTTAAACTCTTCTTTAACATCAATATTATCATTTTCACTCTGAATGCATAATAAAACATTCATTGTAACAAACATATGAATAAATCACACATAACTATGAATTATTGTTCCTCATCTACCTGATGATGGTGAGGGATGGTGTGACCTTTCTGTGTGGAATCCCGGGAATACAGAGGACGGGGACATCTCTCTGGTGGGTTCCTGTAGCTGGAGGATTCCACCATGGTGTCCTGGTACAGATCTTTGTGTTGTTCTGTAAACTCTGACTCCTCCATCAACCCATCCTCCTCCTGTTTTATCTCTTCTTTAACATTGACCTGTGTGGAATCCCGGGAATACAGAGGACGGGGACATCTCTCTGGTGGGTTCCCATGACTGGATCCATCTACCTGATGATGATGAGGGATGGTGTGACCTTCCTGTGTAGAATCCCGGGAATACAGAGGACGGGGACATCTCTCTGGTGGGTTCCCATGACTGGATCCATCTGTAGGAAACACACACACACTGACTGAATCCATTGTTTCTATGTGATTATCAGATGATGGGGGATCTAGGTGGATCCTCCGTACTGCTCTCTCCTTTACAATAAAGTCTCTCCTCTTACCCGGTGATGTGAGGGGCGGCTGATTGTCCATCATGACGTCCTTGTAGAGATCCTTGTGTCCTTCTAAATACTCCCACTCCTCCATGGAGAAATAGACAGTGACACCCTGACACCTTATAGGAACCTGACACACACAATGATACAGTCACCATCCAGACACATCCCTTGTCTGTTACTGGAGAATGTCCCAGAATTCCCGGCACCGCTCACCTCTCCTGTCAGCAGCTCAGTGATCTCTCTGGTGACTTCTAGAATCTTCTTCTTCTTTCTCTCTTCTATCAGGGAGGGAGGTGGAGGCAATGTGATGTCATATGATCTCCAGACTTCACAGGAGGAAAACTCTACATCTGAACACAAATAATCAATCAAATGTACACAGAATCATTTCTCCCGGGTGCGTCCTAAACTGAAAGATGAACGTTGTCTTTGGCTTTGCCAGGACACATCCTATCCCTGTGATCTCCGTGTTCTCCGGAGACTTTACTGATCACATTTCAGGATGAATATCTGAGACTGGGATCATTATGGAGAAATTACTTTTTCGGACATTTCCTACAAATTACATTTTTCCCTCTTTTTTCCTATTTGAATCTTATGAAATAAAGACTATAAGTGGGGGAAAGTTCCGCCCCTGAAGGGGTTAATCTGGGTTCCCACACTATATATGTGTGTATCATCATCTGCTGGAGATAAAAGACATCACAGTGACTATGGAGGAAGAGGACGGACGTGACCATGGAGGAAGAGGACGGACGTGACCATGGAGGAAGAGGACGGACGTGACCATGGAGGAAGAGGATGGACGTGACCATGGAGGAAGAGGATGGACGTGACCATGGAGGAAGAGGACGGACGTGACTATGGGGGAAGAACGACGGACGTGACTATGGAGGAAGAGGACGGACGTGACTGTGGGGGAAGAGGACGTGACTGTGGGGGAAGAGGACGGACGTGACTGTGGGGGAAGAGGACGGACGTGACTATGGGGGAAGAGGACGGATGTGACTATGGAGGAAGAGGACGGATGTGACTATGAAGAGGACGGACGTGACTATGGAGGAAGAGGACGGACGTGGACTATGGAGGAAGAGGATGGACATGACAGGGGGTTACTGGGTGTAAATAGGAAATAACATCTTATTACCTCCTCTGCTGTCACTTCCACCAATGTGTCCTATTTCCTCCCCACTCACCTCTGGAACTTCCTATTTATACCTGACATCACTTCCTGCCTGTACTTGACATCATTTCCTGTCTGTCTTCCATAAAGATTGACTGTCTGGGTAGAAGTGAGATCACCACCTTGTGGAGCTCAGAGGAACTGCAGCCCCGAGAAGCATCTGGTAGTGTGACCCCGGCCTTGTGCTGTGCTGTGTATGGACTGTAGATCCTTATAGATTAGGATCGATACCTCATCCTTTTAAACCCAAACACATATTAATGACACGGGTTCTGGGGCTGAATCAGGTGGTCATTAAACTCAGTGCCTTAAATCAGCCCCAGAACCTGTGTCATTAATATGTGTTTGGGTTTAAAGAAAAACCGCTTCAACCCTGGCAGAACGACCACACTAAAAATCTTAAACGACGCAGTTGCGTGCTGGAACAATTATGGCGCAAAACCAAATCCCCTTGAGCGTTCTCCCTCTACAAATCCGCCTTCCTCACCTGCACCTCCTCGCTCCATGCCGCCAAAACAAGCCTACTTCGTAACCCTCAATGACACCCTCTCCTCCTGTCCTCACTGGCTCTTCTCCACTTTCAAATCCCTACTCTCTCCCCCCTCACCCCCACCCAGTACCTCACTCACCCGCCCACGAGATTGCCTATAACTTCCAAAACAAGATCGATGCAATCTGTAAGGACATCACCAATGCTCAACCTACCTCCCAACCTAACCTCCCTCCCACTATAACCCCATCAACTCTCCCCTCCTCTGACCTCGCAACCGCCCTACCCCCCCCCACCACCACACCTAACACCCCCACACACTGTAACCTCCCCAACACTCCGCTCCTTCAGCCTTGCTACCACTGAGGAGGTCACTAAGGTCTTCTCAGAAGCCCACCTCACTGTCAGGGAGCAAGGAGCCAGACACACAAGGAGGTGCAATTAAAGGTAGGTTTATTATACAAAAACAAGACAGAGTCTATGCAAGTCCAACAGCAACAGCGGATGACTGGGTAGGACAGTAGCCAGGAAGAATGGTCACCAGAGCCGGGGTCAGAAGCCAGGAAGAATGGTCACCAGAGCCGGGGTCAGAAGCCAGGAAGGATGATCGCCAGAGCCGGGGTCAGAAGCCAGGAAGGATGGTCGCCAGAGCCGGGGTCAGAAGCCAGGAAGGATGATCGCCAGAGCCGGGGTCAGAAGCCAGGAAGGATGATCGCCAGAGCCGGGGTCAGAAGCCAGGAAGGATGATCGCCAGAGCCGGGGTCAGAAGCAGGAAGGATGGTCGCCAGAGCCGGGGTCAGAAGCCAGGAAGGAATGGTCGCCAGAGCCGGGGTCAGAAGCCAGGAAGGATGGTCGCCAGAGCCGGGGTCAGAAGCCGGAAGGATGTCAGAGCCGGGGTCAGAAGGGCAGGAAGGATGGTCGCCAGAGCCGGGGTCAGAAGCCAGGAAGGATGGTCGCCAGAGCCGGGGTCAGAAGCCAGGAAGGATGGTTGCCAGAGCCGGGGTCAGAAGCCAGGAAGGATGGTCGCCAGAACCGGGGTCAGAAGCCAGGAAGGATGGTCGTCAGAGCCGGGGTCAGAAGCCCAGGAAGGATGGTCACCAGAACCGGGGTCAGAAGCCAGGAAGGAGTCTTGCCAAAGCCGAGTCGGTATCCAGGAGAGCAATGAGAAACTAAACAGGAGCTTGCTGCTGTGCAACAGACAGGACACGATTGCAATGGACAGCTACAAACAGCAGACTTATATGTGATAAGCCGCCACCTCCTGGGGGAGGAGCCGCAGGGGGCTGAAAGCATAAAGGATCCCACAATGCTTTGCAGACACCTAAGATGGATGCCAGCACATGGAGCAGCACAAGCCCTGAGGAAAGGTAGGAACTTAACACTCATCACTTGCCCCCTTGACCCTGTCCCCACACAACTCCTCCGGTCACCCTCCTCCTCCATCCCACGCTCCCTCACCCACATCTTCAATCTCTCCCTCTCTGCTGGTGCATTCCCCTCCCCCCTAAAGCATGCGCACATCACCCCCATACTCAAAAAACCCTCCCTGGACCCCACTAACCTGAACAACCTTAGACCCATCTCCCTGCTGCCATTTACATCCAAGCTCCTTGAGCGCTTAATCTACAATCGCCTAAGCTCCCACCTCACTGACAACAACCTCCTCGATCCCCTACAGTCTGGCTTCCGTCCCCTACACTCCACCAAAACCGCCCTCCTCAAAATCACTAACGACCTGCTAATCGCTAAAGCTAATGGCCACTACTCAGTCCTCTTATTCCTCGACCTCTCCACGGCCTTCAACACAGTCGACCACCCCCTCCTCCTTAATAAACTACACTCCCTTGGCATCAGAGACTCTGCTCTCTCCTGGCTCTCCTCCTATCTCTCCCAACGCTCCTTCAGCATTACCTATAACGCTACCACCTCCCCCTCTCTCCCCCTCTCTGTTGGGGTCCCCCAAGGCTCTGTCCTCGGGCCCCTCCTCTTCTCCATCTACACCTCCTCCCTTGACAAACTGATACACTCCCACGGCTTCAACTATCACCTCTATGCCGATGACACGCAAATTTACCTCTCCACCCCTCACCTCACTCTTTAAGTCTCCGCCCGAATCACCCACCTCCTAAGCGACATATCAGACTGGATATCGCTCTATCTCCTTAAATTGAACCTTTCCAAAACCGAGCTCCTAATCTTTCCCCCCCCCAATTGTGCCCCCCCCCCCCCCCATCCTCTCCATCATGACCAATAACGCCACCATCAGTCCAACCCTGCAAGCCAAAGTCCTACAGTGGGGATCGAAAGTTTGGGCACCCCAGCTAAAAATTTGTATTAATGTGCATAAAGAAGCCAAGGAAAGATGGAAAAAATCTCCAAAAGGTATCAAATTACAGATTAGACATTCTTATAATATGTCAAAAAAGTTAGATTTTATTTCCATCATTTACACTTTCAAAATAACCGAAAACAAAAAAATGGCGTCTGCAAAAGTTTGGGCACCCTGCAGAATTTATAGCATGCACTGCCCCCCCTTTGCAAAGCTGAGACCTGCCAGTGTCATGGATTGTTCTCAATCATCGTCTGGGAAGACCAGGTGATGTCAATCTCAAAGGTTTTAAATGCCCAGACTCATCTGACCTTGCCCCAACAATCAGCACCATGGGTTCTTCTAAGTAGTTGTCTAGAAAACTGAAACTGAAAATAGTTTACGCTCACAAAGCTGGAGAAGGCTATAAGAAGATAGCAAAGCGTCTTCAGATGTCAATATCCTCTGTTCGGAATGTAATTAAGAAATGGCAGTCATCAGGAACAGTGGAAGTTAAAGCAAGATCTGGAAGACCAAGAAAAATATCAGACAGAACAGCTCGCAGGATTGTGAGAAAAACAATTCAAAACCCACATTTGACTGCACGATCCCTCCAGAAAGATCTGGCAGACACTGGAGTTGTGGTACACTATTCCACTATAAAGAGATACTTGTACAAATATGGTCTTCATGGAAGAGTCATCAGAAGAAAACCTCTTCTACGTCCTCACCACAAAAATCATCGTTTGAACTTTGCAAATGAACATATAGACAAGCCTGATGCATTTTGGAAACAAGTTCTGTGGACCGATGAGGTTAAAATTTAACTTTTTG